CTATACTCCGCTTCCTCTCTTTCATTTTGATCATCGTCTCTCACGCACGCACACGCATCCTGTATCTTTCCCGCTGTTCATCACTTACACGCGCTCCCATTCTCGCTGGTGAATTCTTATTTAATAATCCTTTCTTTCTCTCTTTTTTTTTTTTTTCTTTATTATTTCATAAAACTCTTTCTTTTTTTTTAAATTTTCTTTCCTTTCTTTAATTTGTCTTTTTTTCTTCTTCTTCTTCTTCTTCTTCAGTGAAATGCCCGCAAAATTAGAATCACACGTGAGGGGAAGCACACAAGGATCTACATTTCGTCTTTCTTCCTTTTTTCCATTTTTTTTTTTTTTTTTTGGCACAACCAACGACATTTTGGTACTGTATGTATATGTATATACATATACATATATATATATATATATAATATTTATATATATATGTGTATATATATATATATAATATATAGATATAATAATTTTGCACTTTGCGTGCCGGAACAATTATTTTACAATTACAAACGTATCTAAAAAACGTATCTAAATTGGCGGATCGAATGTAAAATACAAACGATGCGCATTGTTTTTAATAATAATAATAATAGTAGTAATAATAGTAATAGTAATGTAATATTAATAATATAATAATAATAATAATAATAATAATAATAATAATAATAAAAAGAAAAGAGAAACGCGTTTCGTCGTTTAAAAACAAATTTACAAAGATTTACTTCATCACTTCGTCGTCGCCTTAAAAAATCGTCATATTATATTTGTATATACGTATTTTATTGATAAATGCCCATTGTGTTAGATTTCGTTACGCGATTTATTTTATTCTTTCTCTTTATCGCTTCTTATTCAGACAAACGAGAAAAAAAAAAGAAAAAAAAGAAAAAAAGGAAAAAAACAAAAACGAAAATTGGAAAATTTCATCTTTTTTATTCTTCATCATTAATCTCTCTTATCCTTTATATCACGCCTGTATTTAAACTCATTTATTTATTTAATTATCATTTCGCTGAAACACATTCGCAATACGAATACGAGGACAATGATATGATATCGGAAATATGTATAGTAATAACTCGATCATTCACGATCTAATAATTTCACCAACGCGTTCTCATCGTATCCATCTCTCTCGACTTCATTCCTCCCTTCCCATTCCTTCTCCCTTTCCTTTCAACTTTATATTTATAATAAAACTGAGTGTACAGTAATACTGTTTGATATGTCTCTAAAAACGTACATCGATCTCTACTAAATCTTCCCCTTCGTAATCGTCTCCCATTTTTTTGCCCCTATCTCTCTTCTCTCTCCCCTTCATCTCGTTTATATTAGAATCTATATGTATAATGCTCTATTAACACGCTCATACGATCGGCGGGCGACTCGAGGAACTTTGCGGCAAAAGCAAAGAAGAAAGAGAGATTCTTCTGCAATTTGTTGTACGTCGTTGTCGATATTATTACTGGCCAATTAGAGGAAAGGGACGAAAAAAAAATATATATATATATATATAGATATTGTAATAAATCACGAATAGAAGAATTTTCTATTATCGACGTTTTAATTTAATATCGTGGAAATTATTTATTTTTCAGATTCAACGTGAAAAACGTAGGAGAAAGTTAAAAAGTAGTACGTCGTTCCGCCCGCACGGATGGCGCGTTCAGCTACATTTCATTTCTTTAATAACATTATTATTATTGCATTGGCTCTTTCATCTTTTCTTTCTTTCTTTCTTTCATTCATCGTTAAATTCCTGAACTCTGAGGTAGTCTGTTCTGGGTGTCATATTACGTAGTAAAAATGGCAAGAGTGCTATATAATTTATCGTCTTTTTTTTTTCTCTCGCTTCCACTTTATTATTTCTTCGTCAATTTTTTTTTTTTTCTTTTTCTTTTCTTTTTCATTAAATACGAAATACCTACAAAACGAAAATTGGCGAAAGGACGTCATACGTGTATATTTATGATACGTATTCTGTGTTCACGTGTGCGTGTATTATTGTGTACGTGTAAGTGATCGAGTCTCCGAGCGAGCAAAATTTAATTTCTACACGGAATAAATCGTATACTGCGCGAAACAATCGACGCGAGAATACTCGAATTCTGACGAATTAAAGTAACAACAATAAAAATAATACTGTGTACTTAAACGCTACGAAATTCTCAAATATTTAACTGATATATCAAAATATCGATTTCTCTATTCGATCCTTTTAATTGAATAATATAACGTACGTAATTATCGGATCTGATCCTATATACGAATAACGATAGATCAGTTTACCAAGGGGGGGGGGGGAAGAAACGAATTATCACCGAACAAAATTATTCTATCAACGATCTAGAGAAACGCGAGAGAAAAAGGAAATAGAAAATGTAATAATATCGTTCTCGTAACAATAACAATCGGGAACAGGAGAACGAAATTTAAATACGTAACGGTATACGATCAACTATTAGAGTTGCCTAAGATCGGATCCGGCGATCGATTAAGCGATGATCAACAGAAATAATTACGCGTAAACACGACGTATATTTCGGCNTATATATACATATATATATATATATGTGTATATATATATACATATATATATATATGTGTATATATATATATATATATACCCATCTAACGTGCATATGTATGATTTGTGTGGCGTGTACGTGTAAGTGTAACGAGCTGTGCGTAGCTCGAAGGGAAATTCGCTCGTGTCGCGAGAGAGGAGAGACTCGATCCTATCCTCGGTGATTGGCTCGTTTTGCGCTCCACGAGCAATTAATCGAGCATTAATTGATCGTATGCGACGGGTACCGCGCAATTAGAGGCGGCACGGTCCACAAAATTTTGCCACGATTTAATAATCGAAGAAATACGAAATACCGTGGTCGAGTCATTCGTAGAAATCTTGTTATGATGCTATGAAATTTTGCGAAGTAAAAAAAAAAAAAAAAAACAAGAGTATCTTTTTTGTTTGCGAGATATTATAAATAATACATATATATGTGTATGTGTGTGTGAGTATGTAAATAATATGTATAATAATATATATATTTTATATTATAATAATATATATATATTATTATAATATATATGTACATATAATGAAAAAATTTGTTCGAAAATATTTAATGAAAATTGCAAGTAAAAGAATTTACATTTTACTATAACGAAACGACACGAGCAAAATTCATTCCGGGCAACGTACAATTTGAAACTTATTATTAATCTTAACGTTTTAGAAAAATTGAAAAGACGCGATGGTGTCGCGGAAACGAATCCCCAGTGACGGTTGTTCACGTCGTCAAATTGGAATGTATGCGAAAATAAAAGGAATGTTAAAAAACGGAGGAGAAAAAAAAAGAATGCATCGAAAAGCTGAGTGGTAAACAGAGATTTCTCATAGAGTGGTAAATAAAAATTCTTTTACATTCTCGATCGATCGCTTTTTAGGTAAAAAAAAGAAATTTCTTGGTAAAGAAAAATAAAAAATAAAATAAAAGAATGTAAAAGGAATACAAATCGAATGAACAACGATTAAAATAGAGATATCGATCGGTGAACGATTTTCACGGTGGACTCGTGAAATTTGTTTAACGTTTCTCATCGCCGCGTCTTTTCGCGAATATGTATCTATCAATCATTTTATTTTTTTCCTCTCCCTCGATAAAAGTATGCCTATATACGCTATAAAATACGAGTATTATGTATAAGTTTCGTAATCACTTTCTAAACGATATTCAATTAAATTCAATAATTACAGTGATAATAATAATTATAGATTAATTATACGCCTATACATTTAACATATTTTGTACAATTGATAAGCTTCGAAGGTTCGACGTCGCATCAGAAATCTCCATTGCGCGTTTCTTTTCTATTTTTTTTCTTTTTTTCTTCTTCTTCTTCTTCTTTTTTTTTTTTTTTTTTTTTTTCACTTTCGGAATTATTATCATTCGAGAGTGCTCGATTATTCGATTTTCTCGAGAGAATCGTGGATTCGAGAACATATTTACCGAACTCCATTTTGTCAAAGTGGAAGCAGCGATCCACCGAGTCGAGCAATCGACGAGAGAACAAATCTCTCGCCGATTATTTCACGATCGACTCCGTGTATCGCAACGTTCCATGTCTTTTTCTTTTCTTTATTTTTTTTTTTTTAAATTTTAGATATTTTTTTCCATCTCGATGATGCAAAACGCGAAAATTTCGCGATCCATGTTTCGTACGAATCCGTTGTATCACTCGTCGAAACGGTGGTAAATCTCGATCCCGATTCGAGAAGAAATAAATATCAACACCGTTGAGCAAAAAAAGAAAAATCAATATCCTTTCGACGAGTACCGTTGTCACTCGTTGATGAAAAGGGACTCGGCGAGATCTTATCTTATACCCGACAATATCATTATCTGTGTATACGAACGACAAGATATTAAAAGATAAAAAGAAAAGAGGAAAGAAAAAAACGCTAACGTCGAGGAACAACGGCACGAACGGATCTCGTTTCTCTCGTCGAATCAAATAACACGCGAGTATATACGATTGTTTGATCGATAGCCGGGAGGGGAAAAAGAAAAGGGGAGGAAAAAAAAGAAAAAGAAAAAGAAAAAAGAAAAAATAATCGAAATATGTCGAAAATATCATCGACGAGGATAAATTAGAAAATTTGATCACGATCGAACGGATGCGAACTCGAGTCCCGGGTCGAGTCTCCGATCGAATTTAAACACGATGGAAGAATTGGAGAAATCGCAACGATTGGAACGATTGGCCTCGTTGTTATCACACACGATTGCGGAGCCGGTCGTGGTTAACGGTTCGATGATCTCACCTTTTTCCGATCGATAGCGACGACGACGACGAAGAAGAAGACGACGACGACGATGACGACGACGACGACGACGACGACGACGACGGGGGCGAAGATCATCGGACAACGGTGTGGTCCGCCGTCGTTCCCTTCCGTCCACGATGCTCGACGTTTCAAACTCTCTCTCGAATCACGCCCTGAGATGGACGTTGTGGTTGTTGTTTTTCTTTTTGTGCGTCTCGAGGTGCTTCATCATGTGGTCCTTCCTGATGAATCCCTTGCCGCAATTATCACAGGCGTACGGCTTTTCGCCGGTGTGGAGGCACAAGTGCCGCCTAAGGTCAGTTTTGTGGTTGAACTGCTTGGGACATATCTCGCACTTGTATGGCTTGTCACCGGCGTGCTTCTGCAGGTGCTCCGCGTGCAGGTACTCGAGGGGGAACCTCTTACCGCACTGATTGCATTTGAACGGCTTGTCGCCAGAGTGGAAGCTCTTGTTGTGTTGCGTCAGGTAGCAAGCCTTGTTGAATACCTTGTCGCATTCGATGCACTTGTGAAAGCCGTCCTGGGAAATGTAGTGCGAACCGGTGTTGGTACTGGTCACCTGATGTTCCTTGGTGATCACCGTACCGCCCTTCGTTTTGTACGAGCTGCTCTTCTCGAATTGTCTACCGACGTTCGGATTCAACTCCTCCTTCCCTTGAATCATCGAATTATTGCTCGGCAGATTGTTGTTCGCCTCGTGATGGTCCCGGGGCTGGTGAAGCGAGTGCGGCAAATGATGATGGGCTTGAAATTGGTACTGTTTGATGATCATACCGTCCGTGTTCGGTTGCATTTCCACCGCTTGCGAGTCCATATTGGTCAAGGATTCGTATCTCGGCGTCGAAGTTCTATACGGGATGAAATTCGACTCGGACGACTCGAACGATCGGTCTTGAGGAGACACGTTCTCCTCCCCGTTCAGCCCCCCCACGTTAACGGCCTGCGCTTGATTTTGGCCGATCAAAAACCCGGCTACGTTGAACTGAGTGAAGCTCGGAAGGGGCCTTTGATGATTGCTAAAGGTCCCGAAACCGGGTAAAACATCCTGAGATTGCTGCTGGTGATGATGATTCTGCTGCTGCTGTTGTTGCTGTTGTTGCAACTGTTGATTGTGCTGTTGCTGCTGCTGCTGGTGGTGTTGCTCGTGCTGGTGTTGAGATTGGTCGGTGAGCGGTAACTCGTTCATCTCATTACCAGTAGTAGTTAGCTGGATGGTGATAGACTCCAGCAGGCCCGGGATGTTGGTAGTAGTTATAACGTGGGGGGGCAAGGCGTTTGGGTACGGCTGATGAGGCATCGTAGTACCCCCCATCGCTGTGGGCGAAGCCATTGCTGGGTGGACCGAGGCCGGCGTTATGGGAGATGGAGAACTCATGTGGTGGTGCGGGTGGGACGAGCCCATTGGCGAAGGGGAATTCAGGTGGGGTGCCGGCGGTGGATGCATGGGCGATATGGGAGAACTCATGGGATGGTGGGCCGGAAGTTGGTGGCCCGACGGCGAACCCATTGGCAGGTGATGAAGTTGCTGCTGCTGTTGCTGCTGATGGCCCAGCTGAGAGGACGGGGAACCCATTTGTTGCTGATGGTGACCCGCCAACGGGGATTGGACCGGGGAATTGAGCGGCGGTACCATTGTTGAGCCCAAGTGCACCGCCGAACCCGATTGTTGGGTTAGAGACGCCGCCGCCGCCGCCGCCGCCGCCGCCGCCACAGATTCGCTGCTGCTGCTGCTGCTGCTGTTGTTGGAATTGTTGTTGTTGTTGTTGTTGCTGCTGCTGCTGTTGTTGCTGCTGTTGTAGAGACTGGTGGGCGTGTGGAGCAGGCCCCTCGCCGCCTCGCCCGAGGGACCTGCCATCAAGTTTGGGGGACTCCCGGAAGAGGATAACTCCGGCGATCTAGGCGGTGGTCCTCCGGCTCTGCCACCGGAATGGCTGTCCCTACCAGGATGGTGATGAGCGCTGATCGGCAAGTTGGCCGGATCCGGTTGATTGCTCTGTTTCACCGCATTCTTGTGCAACGTGGTGTTGTAGTGCCTCTTCAGATGGCCCGAGCTGGTGAACCACTTGTTGCACGCGGTGCAGTTGTAGGTCTTTGGCCGCCGCGCCTCGTTACTTTTCCACGATTGATTGGCCAAAGGTGGGGGTTTGGGCGGTTGTTGCAACAAACCGCCGGGTATCTGGTGGCCCGGCATCGGTTGCGTGCTCGTGATGATGGGGGAGCCCGGATGCCGCGGCGGTTCCACGCCCATGTGCTGCCCCCGAATGAATTGAGCCTGATCGGAGAGTGGCGAGACGCTCTCCATCGGACCCATCGACGACAATCCGTGATAATCGTGGGATTGCGCGGCGGCTGGCCAACCCAGCATGGAACTCACCGAATGCGATCCGCTGCGTTGCTGCTGTTGATGCTGCTGATGCATCACCTGCTGCTGATGCATCTGCATGTGCAACTCCTGTTGCTGCTGCTGATGAAGCCTCATCAACTCCTCCTCGTATCTATGAGTCTGCACTTTGTGCGAATCTAGATCGAGAATTTCCGCCTGTTCGTCCGGTTCCTGCTTCACGTCCAATTTCACTGGTTGTCCACCGTTGTAATCGTAACCCGATTGTTGTTGTTGTTGCTGCTGCTGCTGCTGTTGGCTGGGCTGAGGTGGTGACGGGTGCATTTGTTGTTGGCTCTGTTGCTGAGGACTGTTACCCAACTGTTGGTATTGTTGATGTTGGCCGGGATACGAGGCGGGCGAGTTGGAATGGCTCGTTCTCACGTGTTCACCCAATTGATTCGCGTCCTCGTACACTGCACCGCACTTGTCACATTGCAGAGGCGGACTCCTTGGACTGGTGGAACTTACGGAACTGGTGCGTTCCGGTGGAAAATGTTGTTGATGTTGGTACGGATGGTAACGCGAATAACTTCCACCGCCACTGCCCCCACCCCCACCACTGTTTTGCGTATCTTCCCTGGGCGGTGATGCGTAATGGGGATGGGGCAAGATATAGGCCTGATCGTTCTGCATAAAATAATTCGTCTCGCCGAACATCGGCGTTTGAAAGTGATTATAACTCGGACCAGAGGCCTGTTGCTGTTGTTGTTGATGATGAGTTTGTTGCTGCTGCTGCTGCTGTTGTTGCTGCTGCTGCTGCTGCTGTTGTTGTTGTTGTTGCGTCGATGGTTGTTGAGAAGACGTAGGATCTTGCGAGGGCGGCCTCGAGGAAGATTCGCTCGAGTCCGCCGGTGCGGTCACGCTATCGCGTTTAACACCCACGTGACTATTATGATTACCAGCTTTGCTGTTGTTGTTGTTACTCTCCTCCTGCTGGGCCTGGCTCGCCCACTGACTTAGCAGGTTCTCCTGGTGGTATCGCAGGTGCACTTCCAAACTTTTATCGCTTTCGAAATAAAGACCGCAATCCTTGCAATGATGCTCCGGATTCGAACTGCCACCTACGTACTGTTGTTGCTGCTGCTGTTGTTGTTCGACACTCGTCATTTCACTCATATTGTCCCTCTTTCCTCTACTCCGCGCGCTTTCGTCTCGCTTTCAGACGCCTTTCTTTCTTTCGTCTTCCGAATAAGAAAGCCTCGTCTTTGTATCTCTCTCACTCTCACTCTCTCTCTCTTTCTCTCTCCCCCCCCCTCTCTCTCTCCTTTTCTCTCTCTCTCTCTCGGTGAACAGCGCACTGTCCGTGTAACACACCGTGTTTCACTGAATCGAAAATGTCGTGTATATATATATATGTAAATATATATACACATACACAGACACACAAACACGCGCGCGTACACGCGCTCGCGCGCGCGCCAAGTTCTGATAACAGTCTGTTCTCCTGATATCGCGGTATTTCGTTCTCTCGTCGTTCACTTTCTCGATCTTATTTATTATTAATATATATCGCTGGAAAAGAGATGGGACGCGGATCACAACTCGGGACGAGGCGGTCGAACGTGGCGTGGAAACGCGTCGTCAAGTCGCGACGTCTCGCGTCTCCCTCCTTTCAACCGTCGACGAGCGTCGATACAGGTTTCCTCGCGGACCGCACATGGACGATGATGACTCGAGAAAGAAGACGCGCGAAAACAGGAGTCACGTGAGATAGCGAGCAAAGCACTTTTGCAGGGAGGACGGTTTTTTTTTTTTTTTTTTTTTTTTCTTTTACGAGAGTGGGAGGCCGAACGAAAAGAAAAGAAAGAAAAAGGAAAAAAAGCGGAGTACAGCGTGTTCTACATTTATCATATGTTGACACGTACGCCAGGTACGAAGAAGAAGGTCGAGATCAATCTCGATCGCTCCAGCTGGTGCGACTCCGACCGTATCACTGTGCGCGGCATCGTCGTCCTCGCCTCGACGATACGCTGACGACGACAAAGACGACGACCACCACCGCAACCACCACCACCACCACCACCACCACGACAATCGTATTAGCTTCGATGCTTGTTCCAAGACGCGATCACGAACCGGCTTCCCCCTTTCAGTTCCAGTGCGCGTCCACCGACGCTGTCCGTGTCCGAATGTTGAGAATCTTCTCGACGGAGGAAATACTCGTACAGAAGAAATATACGCGCGTTCGAGCGAAGGAAAATAAAAGAACGGAAAAAAAAAAAANAAAAAAAAAAAAAATAAACAATGGTTACGCGTACGATTTACATCGTTTAGGTCCACGATCGTTCGATTTCCTCGATCACTCGTCCCCGATACTTCGATAATTATCGACTATTCCTCGAAGATCGAATTCACACGGTCCAACGATAACAATCGTAACTCCTCGTCCTCGAATCATTGGTCATATCACGATCGATCACTTTTCACTTTCTTCACTGATACAATAATACGTCCATTATCTCCACGGTTTCACTTTTTCGTCCACGAGAAACTATAGCAGCAATATACCGCACGGTCGTTCGATCACGTCGTACGCTCACGATAAATAAGTACGGAGCACCGAGAATTTCGTACTATGATCGAAATTCATCGAAATCTGGAAAAGATGAAACGTGTATGCGTGTGCGATCGTGTGCGTGTAACACGCGGGCAAGAGACGAACGGTTGGTTGGTTTATCCTTCGAACTGCGATTGTAAATAGCTGGGAGATCGTCCTCAACCTCGTGTATCTCCCTCCTTTTACTCCTCGCCCCTCCCTTCCGGCGGGATCGCTCGTTCACTCCTTCTCTCTTTCTCTCTCCCCCCCCTTCTTTCTCTCTCACTCTAATCTATTCACACACTCTCCAGAACCGCGTCGTACGACCGCCGGTACTGTTCTGTCGGTTGGAATTCCGGAGTTTCGTTCGAGTCCTCGGGCTCGCGCCAAGGCACTGCTCTCTCTCCCTGCTTTCCAAGCCTTCTCTGCCATCCCCTCTATACCGTCGCTTGCTAGCTCACATACTGCCTCTTCCAACCATCTCGACTCTCTCTCCTCGATGCCGACTTCTTCCCCTCTCTTCTTCTACGCCTCTACGCCGACGAATGATGCTCCCTCTCTCTCTCTCACTCTCTCTCTTTCTCTATCCTATTCTCCACACTCTGCGTACTCTCTCGCTCTCCAACAGTTTCTCTCCTTCTTCCTTCTTAACGTTACTACGCCCGATCCTACTCTCTCTTTCCAATTTTCTCTCCGGTTTGTCTTCCCTCTTTCTCTCTCACTCTCTCTCTGTCTCTCTCTCTCTTTCTCTCTCTATTTCAACTACCTCCCCACCTCCCTCTTCTACGGTTTACGAGAATAACACCTTTCTCCGTTCGATCCACTCGTCTTCCTTCCTTTTCTCGCTCTCTAATCTCGCCCCTTCCTTTTCCCTTCCACGTTCCCGCCGCTATACCCCGCCTTGTCTCTCTAACAGTATCCTCCCTTTCCCACTTTTAGCCGTCGACCAAAGCTCCCTCTTCCCGCAACGATGTAGCTCATAGACGAGCGAGAGAGAAAGAAGGCAAAAAGGACAAGTTATCCGACGAAGAGGCGAATAACTCGAGACAGCCAACCAAATTTGAGACGTCGAGCGCTTCTTGCCCCCACCAGATCTTCCTTGCCCCTCCGCTCTTCTGTGACCGTCCAACGCTTCTCGTTCTCCTTCTCTCTCTCTCTCTCTCTCTCTCTCTCTCTCTCTCTCTCTCACTCTCACTCTCACTCACTCTCACTCACTCTTTCCATTCGACCATCTCATCCTCTCGTCTAAAAGGACTACGAATCCTGTGGGATACCGAATGCTTCTTCTTCTCTTCGCCTCTTGTTTCTCCAATTCGATTCTTCTCCTCGTTCGTCTAACATCGTTCGTTTTTCTTCTTCTACTTCTTCTTCTTCTTCTTCTTTTCCTCTGTCTCTCTCAAACCTCGCCACTTGTTCCTCTTCTTCTTCTTCTTCTTCTTCTTCCTCTTCGATCCTCTTGCTCGCCGATCGAGGGAAGAGAAAAAAGGACGAAGAGAGTTGCGCATGGCACAGGAATCCTTGCGCCTTTTCGTATCCTCGACGTTGTCCTTACACGCGAAACTTTATCCGAAGAGATTTTTCGGAACTCTACCGCTTTTTTTCGATGGAATTTTCGTCGACGATCATTCTCTCTCTCCCGCGCTTCGTTTCCTCTCGCTACTTTTATTTCCATCCACGAGATCGAGAGCTACACCTCGGTCGTAGTTGGTTTCACCGTACCGAAATTTGCCTTTGCCCCGACGCGACGTGTCCTTGACGATGTCCTTAGAGCGGGAAATTTTAGACGAAACCTAACTTAGACGATCCGCTGCGCGGATCTTTCATTTTGTTCTGAAATTCTTCGGTTGGAATAATTTCTTTTTTTTTTTTTTTTTTTTTTGTAGAAAATATTCCTCGTGACTAAAGGTTGAAAATGGCCTAGCACGTATTCAGGCTTATAAGTCCGTAATTTATAGTCATTTGAATTTTATATTGCGGGATAATTTAATTGCTTGTGTCGGTTTTTTTCAAAACATTGCATGGACACTTTAATTATCTTTTGAAAATTTATGAACTATCACGGGGCTTGGCAAATAATTGTGCAGCATTAAAAATCATAAAAAAAAAAAAAAAAAAAAAAAAAGGTAAAGTAAGTTTTTGAAATATCGAAAAATATTTTTTAATACCTTCTTTATTATATGCTTCTTTGAAAATTTCTTAGAAAATATTCGTGATGAACTTGTGTCTCGTTTTTCAACAGTTATATACGTAATATCTACAAGTTTTATCGATGTTGATTTTTTTTCGCCCTTCTAACGCCAGTGACGTGGCTTCTTTCTTTCATCGAAAAAGAAAGAAAGAAAAAAAAATTCATTCCCTGGGAGAAAGGTCAACCGACCCAGTTCACCGTAAACGCTTAGTTCATCTAACTTCCTATTAACCTGTTAACCGAAGAAGACGAGTTACTCTTTCGTTACTCGTTACTTTCGAAAACGTTATATTCTCGTAACGCGAGTATAAAGCGCGATAAAAATTCATCAATAATTATCCGAGTCAAAATCATAATTCGCATTTTTTTCTTTTATAAATAAAACTCACGGTGTCGGTTGAAACTCGAAAACTCGAACGAGCCGAGCCGAGTGAAAACACGCATCAACACGTACCAAGGATTCCGATAATTATTCCCGACGTTTACAAATTTCTATTTGCCAAGCTTCGATAATTTTCCAAGCAAACGATTTATTTATTCGTTCGCTTAAAGAGAATCCAGCTCCAGGCTCGTATATCACAGCCAGTTCCCTTCGTGTTAAAATCGCGTACGCGTCGTAGCTCACGTCGAATTGGCGGCACGGGAGGGCGTTTTGTCTCAAGGAATTACCCGCTTAACAGGTTCAAAGCGGGCACGAGTCGGCCGCCCGTAGGTGTCTGCGTGAAAAGTGCGTCGGTATTATTCACCGATAACCAAACTCTATGCCCTCCTCCTCTCCTCTCTTCCATCTCGCAACCTCCCCTATCCCCCTGGATCGGATTGTACCCCGCACACGGCCACGGAGCTGCTCGGGAGAATAAAAAAAAATGTGGGTAACCTTGCATTTTTTTATCATACCTTCTTTTTTTTTTTTTTTTTTTTTTTTTTTCCACGCGACGAAGCGGGTCCCCGTGGCCCGTGCACTTTGCATACCGAATGCGACAACCTCCTCTTCCCCGATACCCTTTGCCAGTCGCTATCCTCTGGTACAGTCCGTACGATTCACGATTCGTCTCTCTCTCTCTCTCTCTCTCTCTGTCTTTTCTCTTCTCTTCTTCTTCTCCTTTTTTCATCGCGCCAATTTATTCCATTTATGAATACGTTTATTACGTTGCATCGCGACCACCTGACGCGAGAAAGAAATTCGGGCCGTGTGTGTGGCCAGGACCAGCCACGTGCTGTCACGATGGATAAACGTCGATCGCGATCGCGCTTCCTTTCATCTCGATTCAATTAGACGGAACGTCCCGTTCCCCCTGTTTGTTACGTAACGTTAGTTGTTTAACCGCCGCGCGGTACTTGCACAGACGAAAAATGTTGCGAAAAGGAAACAGGAGAAACAGGGTTTCGAGG